TATTAATGTGCTCTCCGGTGAGACACATTTAAACTGCCGTTGCAAAGTGAATCTCTGTCTCAAAGAATGTCTCCCGGGGTTTATAAGGTAATGCGAAGTTTCATGTGAAAATATATATTTCACAGATTTATTGGAGAAAGCAAAACTGATTCGGGAGGGTTTTTTTCCCCATGAAAGACAATGAATGGATGGGGAATTAAGCCTGTTAGTATATGCCTAAATAATAATAATAATATAAATAAAATTTGTATAAGTTCATGAAGACCACTTCTAATTTCCTAAGTCCCTCAGTCTTCTCTATCAGCAAAGCACACTATTCCCCTCTGAGAATGACCTCATCTTTTTTTTTTTTTTAATTTTAAATTTTGAATTTTTTTTTGGTACCGGGGATCGAACTCCGGTCCTGGCACTTGTGCAGCAGGCGGCGAAACCACTCAGTTAAATCCCCCAGCCCAGAATGACCTCATCTTGAGGTGCTAATGATTACGTGCACAATGAGGCTGGGCTCCGTGAGCACACAAAAGCACAACAGATCCAAGGTTGAAAAGGCAAATGCTCTAAGCTATGCAGCACTGGCTTGAAGGAGAAGACAAAAAAAATGAAAGAAGAGAGAAAAGAAGTAGAGAAAGAGGGAGGGAAAGTAGGAAGGAAGGAAGGAAGGAGGGGATTAAGGAGGGAAGGAAAAAGGAGAGGGAATGAGAGAAGGCAGAAGGAAAGAGGGAAGGAGAAAAGGAAAATGCTGAAAGAGGGAAGGAAAGAAGGAAGATAAGAGGGAAGGGGAACGAAAGAGGGAGACAGAGAAAGAAAAGTCTTAGGACTGAAAACATCTCCTTGAGATGCTGTGCACAGAAAAAGCTGGGCAGTGTGTGGTTCTGTCCTTCATCAAGTAAGCTGAAGTGGTAGGCTGTTCGCAGCGAGCTTCGATTTGGAAATGCTGAGTCCCACCTTAGTTCAGCTTCAGCCTGATTAATTCAGCTTTGATATTTCACTTCTGACCCTTTGGACCCTACTTGCGATAATCACATGCAGAAGGGCACATAACCCAGGGCCATCAGAGTGATCAATGGCGATGAAAAGCCAGTACAGCCTGTCCACGCAGGTTAGCGCAGGAGACCCATGCACGGCTGCGATTTGAATCAGCTTGCTTATTTGGTGCACTTTAGAGGCAAAATTAACTTTTTAATTGAACAAGAATTTTAAGTACTGAACAACACAAGCAATTCTTCTTTACTTCTATGGTAGAGTGGTTTTGATTTTTTTTTAAACAATTACTCATCTCTTCTTTTGAAGAAGAAAGCTAACTACGACCACATTCTTTTATAATGAATTCAATCATCTCATTGCTTTGCATTGTAATTTGAAGATATTTTTTCTAATCACAAGAACAAGAAAAAAGTTTCCAGCAAAACTTGAATCAAACATGTAGCAGGTTTTGAGAGAGCCTGCCGGCTCAACGTGAGGAAAGCTACACTTTCTGAACTAATTTCTGTAGCTTCCTGGGGTGCTTAGTATGTCATGAATGCATGGCCTTTCAAATAAATGCCACATTTTTTCTAAGTGATGCCAACATTCTATACGTGTTTGCAGAAAATGCTTTAAACTGCAGCCACACCACCCTAACCACAGGCGCACGTTCCACAATGCGTGTCCTTAGTGGTAATCATTTTGCAAATAGATAGAGTGCACTTTGATGGACTAAGAAGGCCACGCTGGTGCTAGGTGATATTAGCTTTATGGCAACGGTGCCACTGAACACCTAATCAGGACAAACAGAGTTCTTGTTGCCTGGAATCGATGGACCTCTGGTAAGGCAGCTCTTTGCGGAAGAAGCGAAGCTTGGGCTGGCTGTGTTTGCTAAGTTCCTTGCTGTGCTGTGATAGGACCACCACTGTACATCCATTCCACCCTTGACCAGAACATTAGATGGCCCTGTGAGGACTGTATTAATCATGCTCTCTTGCACTGTATTCTAGGACAGGCCTGCAGCCACCTCATGGAGCGGGGTATGTCCAACTGGTCTAGAAGCTCTCACATCAACATGAGTATTATCTTGTGTGGACTGTATTCATTAGCTTGAAAGTCAGACAAGAGGAAGAGAAGAAGCGGGAGAGGGGATGTGAGGGCAGGTAACAGGGGCATGGACATGATCAAACTATATTAAACACATTGGACCCCCCAAAATGTGAAACTCAAGAGGATATAGGACATGGGAGGTCATGTGTGTGGGGGAGTGAACAACGTATGCTATGTGCACAAAGGAGTTTGCCAAAGTGAAAGACATTCACTGCATAACCCATATGTACTGATAAAAACGTGCAACAGAATTCCACAGCCAGGTATCTACCTACCTTTGAAGATAAATTTCATCCTTATATAACTCAAGTCGAAATCGGGTTGAGCTATTAACAAGACTGATTCCTTCGTCAAAATTTCAAACGGCAGTTTTCAATATGCATTAAACAGCAAGTGTCAGCATTGATTCATATGCCAAAGCTAAAAGCAACTGCTTTTAATACATGCTGTACAGTACATATTTAATTCAAAATTCCCATTGTTATGCAAAAAAGTTATCCAGTTTACAATAATTGCTTTGTGAGTTCTTTTAAAATGTAATGGGAATAATGATATTATATCATAATTCCTTAAAGCAATAGTTTTTAATTCAGTATGAAGAGTAAATGTTTAATTCACAATTCCCATTTTAATGCAAAAATGTTATCCAGGTTACAGTTATTGTTTTGTGGGTTCTTTTAGAAGGTAATGGGGAATAATGATATTGGAGCATTCAATTAAGTCATTCAATTGGCAGAGACACCTATATTACAGAGAAGACACTGCATATAAAATTAAAAGAGATTCAGGTTTTAAAAGAGCAGAAACCAAATTTTAGCTCAACGTGCTTTGGAAATCAATATTGAAGGAGTCTGGAACTATAAGATTTAGGCCTCTGACCAATCAGGACAAATGGTAATTGGATCTGGAAAGCATTTCCAGAGAGTTGGAGTTTTCTGGTGTCAAGAAAGCACTGCAGCACCGTTAATGTAGCTCTTTGAGGGAGCTGTTGCCCAATCTCTGCATTGTAAACACTCCCAACATGGCCAAGTGCAAACCCGGGATGCTATAACAACTAGCTGTCGAGATGGCTGAACAAACAGAAGTTGGTTTCACCCTCCTAGTGCCTGATACTAACCTCTGATCCCACAGCTCTCTTCTTTCACCCTAAAGTACTTACAACTTATGCAAAGGGTCCACATTGTCCAGTGACTACTGACAGACTCCTGCCAAAGTAGGCCTAAGACGAGACTCACTCAGTAAGTGCTCGTGTTAACTGCTCCTTTCTCCAGATGACAGGAAGCTCTGCATGCAAGAGAGACACTTTCTCCTTGTGCATCCTTATATTCCCAGTTCTCTGCACATTTCTCAGCATGGAACGCTCTAGAATGTAAGCAACTTCTGGCTGGATACCTTTGTCTGTTCTACCCACTGACGGAAGCCCAGGCGAACGTGGTACAACCACACTGCACTATTTGTAGAAAAAGATGACTAGATAGAACGCTAAATAACAAAAGCCATGCACCAAGCCATGCATGAAAATCAGGAGGCAGGTGCGTTTTGGATGTACCCTGAAGAGCACATCAGATATTCGTACAATCCAGTGTATTGAATTGAGTTTGCTAAATCACCAAATCTAGCCTTGAGGTACTGCGATTTGTCCCCGTCTGTGGCTGGTACAAGGCAGAAGAATTTAAGGAATTGCACTTAAAATTCTTGCTTGTGCTTAAGAAGCAAATTTTATCCCAGGGCCAGCTTCCTACTGGAAACTGGCTCTTGTTGTTCTCACGCATTCCTATTTTGGTCCCCCTCCCTCCCGGTCCCTTTTCCCTTGACTCCTCCACAGGATGTTTCCCTCCAGCCTCTGATCCAGTGCGCTCCTTCTGGCTCCTCCTAAGAGGGGAAGGGTGCTGGCTGTATTGAAGTGCAGTTCTGTGAGGTCCAAGACGTGATACCACACTTCAAACACCCAGGAGCTGCAGCCACTTTGTTCAAAACAATCCTTGGGGCACCATATAAAAAGAAATTAAGAATACAGTGTTCACTGACTAGAGGATTCAGACCTAAATGCTATCAGGTGACCTAAAAACTAGTATTCCTGTAGAATTGTGGGCACCGGGGTGAGACAGGTACAGAAAATCGCTGGAGGCCTAGGATCCCCAGGCTGTGACTTCTAGAACACAGAGCAAAGAAATACCCTGAAAGTAGCTAGGAGCCAACAGCTATAAATGATTACATCATCCACAAGAGTCGAGTCTCCTGGATCCAACTCCAAGGAGGGTCACACCAATGTCAACATCCCCCTCAGAGTCGTGCATAAGCTGCACAACATGCTGTCTTTCCACAGACTCCTAGGCATCTTAGTGACATGAATATGACTGTCATTCTAAGTTGCCAGGATGTGAAGAAAACCTCAGGTCATGCTGAGGATGGCAGCACATTGCTGTTGCTCACTGATGTGGGTTAGACCTTCCCCAGGCATTGGGAAAACCACGTTAGAACTAGTTACTGGCCGAGTGCACGGTTTAAAGGACACTGGTTTGGGAAGTGCGGTAACATCTGTGCATTTTAAATTTGCTTTAATGGTCTAAATCTAACAAATATATGAGAGTGACAAAATACAGACCGAACAAGTCATGATCCACCACGTCTGAGGCTAAGCAAAATCAGGTTCATATTCAAATGACACGCATTCATTCATTCATTCTGTAACAATGCAGTACGAGAAGAGGGAAGCGAACGATCTAAGAACAGGTGGAAGATGTGGCCTTTCAGTAGTCTAGGGAGGGACTCACAGCCGACTTCCAGGAAAGAGAACTGAGCAAAGGATAGGCATAGTTTTCAGCATCTGCCGGGCTCCGCAGAACAAAGCCCTCTGTTAATCTCATCTCTCCACATGGCATACACCGTACAGAGTCTGAGAAGCAAGTAGAGGTCCTGTTACTCACTGTTCCGTGGGTGCCAGCGCACAGCGTTTAAGTAGGCGTTGCAGTAGTGGAAGAGAAACTCGTGGTCAGAATGCCGGGTTTTCCCCTGGATCAGGGGCATCAGATCTCTCCCGTCAATGACCCTGCAAGGTAAATCAGTCCTTGAATCAGCCATACTCATCATCCTTGCCCACCCTAAAACATCTTCCTGGCCAATGAGAGAGCTGTATAGACCCGATTCAGTCATGCACACAGAAAAGATGAACTAACCCTGACCAGGTGCCGAGTACTTCATCTGGATTCTGGCTCTGTTTATGCATTAACTCCTCAGATCCCCCAAATGCTCCCTGAATGGGGGCTGTTGTCAATGTGTAGAGGAGAAGACTGAGGTCTCAGTGTTGGAGTAGTTTACCTGAAGTTCTGTGACTAGTAAGAGCTCATGGGATTGCAGACAGGTAAGTTAACTAGATATCTTGTAGGCAGGTAGACAGGGCCTCCTTTAAGGCACCAGCCCTCCAGGAGCCAACACAGCAAGGAGCCAACAGGGAGAACAACTGAGGCACATTCATGGGTTAGCATTACAAAAAAGAAGACTCACTACTTCCTCTAGAGATAGAGAGCAGTGATTGGTATTCTCAATGGGAAATTCCTTGTATGAGACTTGTTTTCCCCTTTGCTCCCCATTTAATCAATGTCACCTGGGTGACTGTATTTGTAATCTTACTGATTGGTCATGGTTTTCCCCCGCCTCATGCCCACCGTGTAAATTTCCATTGGGTCTTACAGTTCCGTCCCACTTTGTACCTGCCTCACCACATGGCTGTGCTGTATAAAACACCTTTGAACTGTGGGGTGGGCGGGCAACCCACGTTCCGGTCCCCCTTCTGTCTCTCTTAGGCAGAAGCTTTCTTTCTCCCAATAAATTTTTCCTACTCTTAACCTCCGTGGTTCCTAGAATTCATTCTTCAATTTCAGAGAACACAAAGTCACGTTTTGGATATCTAGCAGGTTTGAGAGTTACATCTCTTCCCCTATATCAATGGGATTGAAGTAGACAATTTAGCATCCACCCTCTCAACTACTCTCCCTGCCACTTCTTCTATATCCAATTTCCCAACTGCTACTTTGTCAAAAGCAGTGCTTTAACCATCAATTATAGGTCGGCTGAAAATAAGAGCAACTGGTGGTTTGGATGAAGAGAGGCACCATGTAGGATGGGACAACTTGAGCTACCTGGGGATGGAGCAATGATTCCCACAGGACATTTATTTCCGCTACTACTGGGTGTCTAACTAGACGGAGAAGGAAAACTATCCAGACTACAAACAGACATGTACAATGAGTGATGAGAAAAATAAGATTTCTTGGGGTTTCAACCAAGTTGGAAGCCCAAGATCTTACCATGAGATCTCATCTCAACTATAAATGAGTAGCTACTTGAGACCCTCAAGCTACCTATACCTACAGGCAACTGTCTGCCCTCAGCCCTCCTTATTAATCATGCTCCCCACAGACATCTACAGACTGACAATATTCTATGATCACAAGTTAAAAATAAGAACAAAAGACAGGCTTGGCTCCGTTCCCAAGCGCCATCTCTGTAAGCAACCAGTGGAAGAGAAAGAGATGAGGTAGACACAGTCCCACTCAGACGCAGCGGGTTCTCTGCAATCCGCTTCCCATCCCGAAAGGACACTCCTAGCGCTTTGTTCTTTTCAGAATGCTCTCAAGAAAGACTCCAGGCTTCTTCCTGTGAGATCCTCGATGGGGATGGGAGGGAAAGACGGGGGTGTGTGTGCAGGGAGGACAATCAGAGCTCCAGGAGCCCCTAACAGGACAGACGATGTGACAGTGAGAATTCAGACCAGGGCTTCCGCCCTCTCTCTGTCCCCTCTGCTTGAGAGCGGAAAGTCTCTCGGGACTCCTGCAAAGCAAGGGGGATTTCCACTACCGCCAGTCACCGTCTGAACCTTTACTCCTTAAATCGGGCTTTATTCCCCATATGGACACAAGACTCCACACAGGGTTTAAGAACAAATGAGACGAGCATGCTTTCTTACTCATACCTGACAGCTGGAAGGGGTCATGATAGTCAGGAAAAATTTCATTTCAAAAATAAGACTCAAAGTGAATGGAACTGGAGATCACGTCAAACACAATAAGCCAAACTCGGAAAGACAAATATTGCATGTTTTCCTTAATATGTGGAATCTTAACCACCACCACAACAAAAAGATGACATGAAAACAGGAAGGAAGCTATTAGACAGGAGGGAAGAAATAAGGACAGGCCAGTGCAAGGGTGTAAAGAAGGGTGAAGGGAGGGTGGATGGAGCCCAGATGGATTATATGCACACGTGAAAATCGCAGAGTGAAACCCAGTGGTTTGCAAAATTAATATACACTACTACAAATATTTCTGAAAGACTTGAAGTTTCCTAATTTTGTCCTGCTTAAAAACAAACTGTTTAACTTGAGGGGAACAAGGTGTAGTGTGCAAACTTCTTTTTCTTCAAATGTAGAGACAGATCCCTCCCCCATATATATCCCACAGCTAACGTACTCTTTCCTAGAAGCAGGCAATAACTCATGCTGCTATGGAAAACCACTGTTTAACAGGGCTGGAGAAATATAGCCCATCAGAAGGCAGCTCATTTCTGTCATGAAAGTCTGAAAGTGACCCCCATGAACCAAACTCTTCATAGGCCTCTGAGCTATCAAAACACTTGGGTTGGTTTTAAACCCCTTGTGGGATCCACACTGAACCCCACCCCTTAACCAGAGGACAGTGCATTGATGCTGCTGGTAGAGATTTTTAAAAAAATAATATCAAGCTTTGGGGGAGAGAGGCCAGTCCACTGTCAGTGTGACACACAGCACTGCCCTTTAGAAAATGAAAATGAGCAGTCTGATTGGCATTTTAGCTGCAAACAAATGCAAGTTTCTGCAGCAAGTTTGCATAGTTAACCATGCTATGAATTGCACGTGTCCTGTTGACTTTTCACCTGGGGGGGAAAAGTGTGCCTTGGTGATTGTTCTTCATTTGGAAGAGAAGGTTGGCCAGAATTTAGATGTTTTCAAAAACAATTAACCAATTGTGGCATGTTGTGACCCTTTACTACCAACATTAGGAAAGGTTATCACGTTGCTATGGAAATACTGTGTCTGCTTGCAAAGACAAAGCCCAAAGAAAGGCTTTTCATATTCATGAACTAAGACATTCAGGTGCTATATTCCTCCTCCTCTTCTTCTTCTTCCTCTTCCTCCTTTTCTTCTTCATTTTGTAATACCCAATTGTCTGCATTTAACAGTGATACGAAACACTGCCTTCAGTATTTCCAGAATGAGCTTATTTGGAAACCCTGGTGGAAGGGAGAAAAAGTTTTCTGAATACGCCTGGCCACGATGGCTACTGAAAGCTTTCAGATAAGCCATGCTATTTAGTGGATGTGAAACAATGAAGTGTACCTGAAGGAAAGATCCACTGCTGGAGGCCAGGTCTTATGTAGCCATACCGTGGGGTTGAATCAGCAAACTGTTTTCTCTTATAGCTTTCAGGCTTCTCAAAGCAAAAATCCCTCCTTTGCACCACTGCTCTCTCCGCTTGGACTTGAGTAGAAAGTGTGGATTGCCTCTATTTTCACTAAATAGAGTCTACGGGCTGGGTCTGAGGGCTTCTCATCTCCCACTAAGTTTTGACTGATCAGAAATGGCTCTCAGGAAACCCAGAATACTTTGTGAGAATTACAGCATTATGCTGGAAGAATGGGCATTCACGGGACAGAAATCCTCTCCTTTTAACAAAACACCCTGGAAGAATTGAAGCCACTTTGCTAAGAACTTGAGTCCTCCCTCCAAATGAATTTCTTCTCCTGACATGTAAATTTAACACAACATCGGAGCAAGAAAACTGACAAAGCTGATTTCTACCCACCTTACCTTATCAGGAAAAAGTTAAGGCTATATTCAAAGGGAAAATATCTGTATATGAAATTTATAGATGGCTAAACATATGAAGATATTATCTAGAAACTTTTACTGAAGAGTTCTGGTGTGAGTTTCTATTGTAACTACATTTTTCATAGAAGAACAATAATAAGTTTTAGAGCATAATTTCTCAACCTCAGCACTTCAGACATATTTGTTAAGATAACTCACTGTTCTTTGGGGCTAATTCATTGTTGCACTGGATTGCCTTGTGCACTATGGGAAGGTTAGCAGTATCTTTTCCATCCACTCACTGGAAGCCAGTGGTACCCCGAGATCGGACGATCAAAGTCTCCAGGCGTGCATGAATGTCCCATGAGGAAAACAGGCTGTGTCATATCCACCGTGTGGGGCACTCAAAGCTTCCAGGACAAGAACCTAAGAACATGTGACCCAACGTGGCTGGCAAAATGTTTCAAATAAGATATTGTGCAATCACTTCATTACCAGAAGGTCTCTGGAAGTAGATTTCTGCTTTCTAGTATGTGTTGTCTCTATGACGACGAACACCTCGGTCAACTGGGCCTATCTTGAGAGTTTGGACCCCCAGCCAGAGACAATAGCAATGGGGTGATTAGGTCAATAAGCATCAATGAGATCAATGTAGAAACCAGCAAAGAGGTAAAGTCTTCAGCCCTGTGAGTGCGTTCTAATGAGGACCCGAGCTCACATGCTAAAGAACTGAGTCTAAGGAAGGGGGTCTGGCTGGCTTTCTCAAGAGGTGTGAATAAGTAGGATAGAGTGGGCCCCACTAGGAGCACAGTGGAGCCCATGGGAGGGCAAGGGCAACATTTCGCTTTATGGATTTTCAGCTTCTATCCTTCTTCCTTGCCTTGCCTTTTCCCATTTGGAGGAAAAACCATTCAAAGATAACATGCAAGTGCAGATCAGTGATCATTTTAACAGTGTGGGTCAGGAGAGAAAAAATGCAGTGAAGACATTACCTAGACACTCCGTTTTGGCAACTTAAAGCAAGTACTATGTTTTATCCCAAAGGTGAGAACTAGGGCCAATAAGCAGATAAAACAGAGTGAGGGTTTTGTCTCAGCAGGAGAAAAGACACTCTGTGAATTACTGCTGCCAAATATTGAGTTTGACTGGAGCAGACCTTAAAAGCCTCCTTGAGTTCTCAGATTTGATGGCTCTATGATCTTGGACAAATATTACATGTAGAAAAGGCAAGATTTTGACATGTTACTACTGCCTGAACAAAAATGCAGACATTCCTCTTTCTCTGTACTGTACTTTTCATATACAGATGTCTTTTTTTTTAATTGATAATGAGGATAAAACTCAAAGTCTTTGCACTGAGCTACACTCCTACCCCTTTTTCATTTTTACTGAGACAGAGTCTTGAGAAGTTGCCCAGGCTGCCTTTACCCTGGAGGTCTTCCTGCCTCAGTTTCCCCAGTCGCTGGGTTATAGGCATGTGTCCCCATGCCTGGCTCACAGACACCCCCAGCTGTCTGTCACCCTTGTAACATCTGTGCTCTCTGTGATGGAACCCATTTCCCAGACAACATGTCAAGGCCAAGGAATCTTTGACACTTCGCTCACTGTGTAGACAAAGATTTGAACCCAAGAAGTGTGGCTGTAAGATACCCCACTTTCCCCCACAGCGCCAGCCACTCTCAAAGTGTTATCCAGAGACCCTGAGGGATCCCCGAGATCTTTCCAGGAGATCGGGGAAGACAACATGACTCTCACAATCCTAGGAAGACATTCTTGGTCTTAAAAATGATCTTACTGTTTTTACATTTTCTTTGCATCCAAAATGGAAGACGAGATCATCATCATCATCATCATCATTATATGGGGCAGTAGAATGTGCACTTTCAGGGTTTAAGGTTTTAAAATCATCTCCAGCTTTAATTCCCAACTGGGTACACAGCAAGGGATATAACCCACACCAACAAAAGCACTTTGAGGTCCCCGGCTATTGATGAATGTGCCGAAGTCTTGAGAGCACAGCGTTTGACAGTGGCTGAACTTGAAGGCTGTCTTCCCTCTGCGTGTGTGTGTGTGTGTGTGTGTGTGTGTGTGTGTGTGTGTATGAGTATGCAACTAAAGCCGATTTTGACAGCAATAAGAAAAAACACAAAAAAGAAACAAACTTGAAAACACCAGGAAATGTCCAAACCCATCTCAGGCCTCCCTGTGGCAGGGCTGTTGTTTTCCTCTTTGGTTTCTCCTTTTCCCTTCCTTCTCCTGGCAGGCAAATTTAAATAAGATTTGCAGCTGCCTGCATGACATTAGCCTGGCCTGCCACCAAACTAATGAAAACAATTAATCAGTGTGCTCCACTTAAAACTCCTCAGATTGGTAATAACACTTAAGAAGGAAACCCTTGGCAATGTCATATGAAGTTGTATTTAAATTTAAGAGAAAGACATTTCATTTGGAGCTTGCTAAATGAGGACATGCTGGGAAACAGGGCCCTTTGCTGGGGAGCCAGCTACCTTTCTTGCTACTGCAGCCAGGAGCTGCTGAGCAGGCCAGAAGGACAGGTGTAGGAACAAAGCGGGGCAGCTGTCCTGTGGCTCAACAGCAAGCCAGTAGTGCAGAGAGAGGGAAGGGATCAGCAGAAGCCTGCAAGCAGAAGCCTGGATTAAATATCCTCCCACGTTCCTGGCCCCTCAAAAGGTTTGTCGCTGTTGGTGGGAATGTAAATTCATAAAGCCACTGTTGAAAACCACATGCGGATTCCTCAAAACACTACAAAGTACATCTACCATGTATCCATCCAGCTATCCCAGTCCTGGGTACACCCCCAAAGGAGATGAAATCAGTGTACAAGACACATCCACAGTGCCATGTTTATTGCCACACTCATTGCAGTAGCCAAGGAGAGGAATCAAAGTTAAGTGTCCGTGTGTGGATGACCAGATAAAGAAGGGCCAGGGATTTAGCTCAGTGGTTCCGCCACCTGCCTCGCAAGCGTAAGGACCCGAGCTCAATCCTCAGTACCAAAAAGAGAAAAAAGCAAAAGAAAAAGTGGTCTACGGATATAATGGCATACCTTTCAACTACAAAGAAGAAGAAATCCTGTCATTTTCAGCAAGGCAGATAAGACGAGAGGAGACTATGCTATGCAAAACAAGGCAGGTACAGAAAGACAAATCTGCATGTTACCATTTAGAAAGGGGAGGTAAGAAGGTGAACGCATGCCGGTTAGCGGAGACTGGAGAATAAGGAAACAGGAGAGGGCTTGTTTGTGGAAGCTAAAAAATAAATACGGATGTTATAGGGGAAAAAAGTAGAGTATTCATCAGTGGCCCGGCCAGCATAACCAGGAGGGTGGATGGAGAGAGGGTGGAAAACAGGAACCGAAATACACTTAGAGGGGAGGGTTTAGCTCTGGTGTTGTACAGCACAGCAAGGAAACTCTAGTCTACAACAATTCATGATGTGGTTCAAAATAACCAGAAGAGTCCAAAGGGTCCCCGCACATAGAAATTACTCATCGATGCTTGCAGAAATGGAAGTACTAATTATCTCAGTCTGATCGTTACATGTTGTGTATACATATGGAATGATTATAGTGAACCCCATAAACGGGTACAAATATTGTGTGCCAATTAAATGAATTTTCTAAAATATCCAGTGTCCCTGAGTTTCCTACTTGGATGATGGGATGGACGGAGGGATGCTTTTGTTTTTGTTTTGTTTTGTTCTACACGAGCCAAGCTTGTAAGTCCCCCAGCAAGACATGGGTAACACGTCTAGCCAGAGGCACTGTGCAAACTAGACCACCTCAGCCGTGAGAGCGATCGGGATCAGAGAGACCCCGCCAACCACCTTGAGGCAGCGTACCTGTCCTGGGGCAGTGATGCTCCGGCAACTTTGGCGACTGTAGGAAATATATCCATGTTGCTTGTTGGCTCATCGATCTCCAAACCAGCCTGTATCACCCTTGGCCATCGAAGGATGCCTGGAATCCGAATACCTCCTTCCCAATTGTTTGCTTTTCCTCCTAAAATCACCAAAAGAGAGATAACAGGGAGAGTTCACTCTCTTCAATGCTTCTATCAACGTGCTCTTCCATGCACAATGTGGGAGAGTCCATTTGCAGGAGCCAAGGGCTCTGATTACATGGATTCCATGAGTTCTTCAAAACAACGCAGTGCATGTTTTAGTGGAAAAAAGAATAAATGACATGGTCAGCTATGCCTGACATTGTCACCACTATGTGGTGGGTGTCAGCCATGACTTCCCAATTAAGGAGACTCAACTCTCAAAGCCACAAAAACTCACATCCATGACCTTGGAGTCAAGAGTACAGGTCTTATTTCTACTGGTTACCAGATGTGGGAGGTAAAATAGTGGTATCCCTCAAACATCCACATTCAAATTCCTGGAACCTTGGATAGCCAAAGGAACTTTGAGGATGAGATTAAATATTCTGAGAGGAGGAGATGATCTTGGGTTACAATAGTGGACCCCATGATGGCATCACAGGGTTCTTAGCATGGAATGAGGGTGGAGAAAACACAGATCAGAGAAACAAGGGTTGTAATCACAGGCAGGTTGTAATCACGGAAGATGCCGGTCTGCTGACTTTCAACACCAAGTAGAGCACCCTGAGCAGATGAAAGCGAGAATCCTGTAGAAGCTAGAAAAAGGGAGAAAGCAGATTCTCCAGTAGACCAGAGCTCTGGAAACATGTTGCCTCAGAACACCATTTTGCATGCCCAGAAACGTAAGGCAATAAACTCAAGTGGCTTTGAGCCACCAAATTTGTGGTTCATTGGTGGAAGAGGCCAAGGAGAACAAGAAGACATGGCCCTGTGCCCTTGGACACAATTCCTACAGTGCCCTGTAAGCCGCACAGAATGATTATTCCAAGTGCTCGAGAGAAGGGAAAGGCACAAAGCAAGGCCACTGGCATCACGATGGTCACCTTATCACAAGGCTACCTCTTACTGGTGAGTTGAGCAAACGAGCTTTGTGTACAGAAAGCAACTAGAATGTATCTGGATAAAGCTAGGAAGGGCTCCCAGGAGGGACTAAAACGAGGAGCTCAGAGTGGAAACAGAGTGGCGGTAGACAATGTCACAAGATGTCACCATCCCTTGGGTCATGCATGATTCACTGTTCCTGACCCAGAGTCGACAGCCACCTAAGCAACCTTCAGAAGTGAGGCTGGAGAAAAGGCAGCCAGGCTGAAGTTCACTAATGGTGAGGAACACAGCCAGGTTCAGGCAAAAAAAAAAAAAAAAAAAGTGCTGAGAGACATGAACCAGAGTTAAACAAAGATGGGGCAAGTTAAAAAAACAGCACTAATTATTACTAGAGGATTCACAGGGAAGAGGAACACCACTGAAATTTAGGAAGTTACATTTTTAGGAACAGAAGTTTCAGGGATTTTAACACAAGTGTTCACGGATGGAAGACAGTGTTTCACTCCTGAACCTTGTAGAACGACTTCTACTCATCGGTGAGATCTTTCTGTGGTGGACAGTCACACAGACACTTAGGGAAAACTCACACATAAATTCTTGTCCTGGTGTGTGGCTTCTATGTCAGCCTCCAAAGAAAGCTAAAACTCTCTCTTCTACTTTAGCTTCTCAGCACCACTTTGAGGGTAACGATCTGACACGCAGCGTCTTCAGAGACATTGTGTCCAAGAAATGGGAGGTTTAACTAATTTGCTAGAGTTCTCTCATGCTGTCAATAGCAGAGCTATGTGAGGAATCTGAGTGTGCTAAGGACAGTCTGCCCACCCTTCTCCTCAGTCAAGGTCACAGAATTTTTAAGTGCTTATGTTTCCTTTTTCATCAACTTCTTCTCCTTGTTCTCCTCATCTTCTTCTTCCTCCTCCTCCTCCATCTCTTCCTCTTCCATCTCCTCCTCCATCTCCATTTCCTCCATTTCCATCTCCTCTTCCATCTCCCCCTCCTCCTCTTCCTCCTCCATCTCCTCTTCCATCTCCTCCTCCATTTCCATTTCCTCCTCCTCCATCTCCTCCTCCATCTCCCCCTCCAGTTCCATCTCCCCCTCCATTTCCATCTCCTCCTCCATTTCCATTTCCATCTCCTCTTCCTCCATCTCCTCTTCCATCTCCTCCTCCATTTCCATCTCCTCCTCCTCCATGTCCTCCTCCTCCTCCATCTCCTCCTCCATTCCCATCTCCTCCTCCATCTCCATCTCCTCCTCCACTTCCTCCTCCTCCTTCTCCCCCTCCCCCCTCCCCTCCTCCTCCTTCTTATTGTTTTCTTGTGGTTCTGGGAATTGAACCCAGGGTGCTTGCACTGAGCTACATCCCTAGCCCCCTTTCCAGTTTCACCTTTTGAGGCAGGGTCTCCCTAAGTCACTGAAGTACCCAGGTAGGCTCAAATTTGCCATCCTTCTATCTCAGCCTCCCAGAATGATAGGGTAACAGGTGCGTGCCACCACAGCTCCCCACCTTGTTTTCTTTCTATTCCACCAAGCTCCCCCCAGTTTCCCTTTAAGTTCAGCAACCACAAGGAAAGGGACCACAAAACAAAGGCCAGTTTCATTAATAGTTTTGATATATACATACTGCCCCATGGGTGAAAAGAAATCAGAATCAATAAGTGGGAAGGTGGATTCCACTAGTGAAATAAGGAAAAAGCGTCCTTGGAAAATTCACTCTTAATATTGGATCCTGCAACAGGGAAAAGGATCTTGGTGGAAAAACTGGTGAAATTTGAAAATATTTAAAGCCAGCTAATTGTGATTGTTATGCCTTAGGTCTAGATGCCCCTCAAAGCCTCATGGGGTCATAGGGCTGTTTCAGAGGTGGCTGGATCTACAGTGCGTGATGCTGGGATTAAGGGCATGTGATTACTAAACCAGTCCACTGATTGGTCTGACAGCTCCCTAATCCCAGAGGTCTGGGTAAGATAAGATAAAAGGGGCAGAAAGATGCTGTTAAGGTCCCTTGTTGCTTTTGCTACCCTGTGGGCACCATAAACTGTTTCTCCCCCGGGACGCCCCTCTGCCATGTGCCACTCTGGCTTGGAGCCAGCCGACTATGGGCCCTAACCTCTACAGACTGTGAGCTGAATAAATCCTTTCCCTTTTAACTCTGAGTGTTGGGTATTTTGTTTCGGCCATGAGAAAAAAGTAACTAACACAGTGATGAACAAAGGTGGATTTGGAGACATGCAGCGAGGCTGTGCAGGATGATAACACAACAGGAAGCTGAGCACGGGGTGTACAGGAACTCTCTTCAGCACCTCGGTCATTCTTCCATGAAACTAAAATGCTTCTGACAGACACATACAAGGTGATTTCCCGTATATCAGATGCTTGAGACGCTATTTGTAATGGGTCACAGACAAAAATTTGGAGTGCTAAAAAACACTGTATAAAATTACTTCCCTAAAGTATGCTATAAGTGCCTATAGTGTGTAGAAAACATTAATGAATTTCATGTTTAAATCTGTGTTCCTTCCCCAAGATATCCTATTAGGTATATGCACGTATTCCAAAAATCTCAAAAAAAAAAAAAATCTGACATCCAAAACATTTGTAGAATTTTTCACTTGTATCATGTTGTCGCTGAAAGAGTTTCAGATCTTTAGAGCATTTGGGATTTTGGATTAGGGATCTGCAACCTACACATGTATGTACATATATAAAGATATATATTACAGATTTATAGTACATATAGCAAAGTCACTAGCATATATGGATATATAAGAGAGATCATTAATGCATCAATCAATATTCACCCAGCTAAGCGTTTCTGTCCTCTTCAAGTCAAACAAGTAGGAACAAGCTGATGAATTCCCTCAGAGGGTCGCATAAGGACTGTTTCTTGGCACTCATGATGGGTAAGATTCCATGCTCACCTAACACCTGCCAGGAGTGGAAGCAGACATCTTCACTTACAAAATCCTTACATCTACCCCAGAGGGAGCTACTATTTCTGTCTGTTTTACAGGCAACAATCTGAGGCTGACACAATTCAAGCAATGTGCCAAAGAAGATCACTCCTCTAAAGGGCAGAGTTGCAGATACAAATCCAGGCCCATCCGCCTCCAAAGCCTGTGAGTTTGTACAACTGACTTCTATGTTTTCCTTGAAGCTGGGGCATTTATACCCAGTTGTCCATCCAATTCTGGAACTCAAAGGACCATAGGAACTCAGAGACACACCTGCACTCTGGAATGAAGGGCTGTGACACCGAGCACGTTTTGTATTTTCCCAGAAGCTGATACAGATACATCATCTTTAGGGCCTAAGCAATGCCTCAGGCTGGGTTCGTGGCTCACCAGGTGGTGGTGCCAGACACACCTGGCTGCAGAACCACATGACAGAGCAGGTGAGAAGCAAGGCCGCCAAAGCAGGAAATCATGCAGAGAAACCCACAGGCATGACCAGTGTCTGTGTGCGTCAGGACTCAGGGGCCAGGACCCACGTGCTACCCACTCTGGGGAAACTGCTCACCCTCCAGACTGCCAGGCTGTGGGAGATGAATGCAATAAGAGATGGCTTGATGGATAACTTCTTTGAAGACAAACAAACCAATGCAAGAGTCACCGGAGAGGCCCTAGCAATGGCATGCCCTGCCAGAGTCCAGATCCCAAAGGGAATTCCAAGCCATGCATGGCCAACTGGTGGTCACACTTCTACCACAGTGCAAAGCAGGGGCTCCCCATTTCGCTCAGGTGAGACGTGGCAAGCACCTCCACGCTGGCACAGGGCTGTGGGAGGCAGCTGTCTTTACAGCCTCCACTCCCAGCCACCTAAACACACCTTGTATGGATGACATGGTGGCCCCTGGTGGGGTTTTGCCTACATCTTTTTACAAATGCATGCTTAGTCTACTACAGATACAGGTAGATACAGAAATAATTACAGATATGTGTGTCCACACGCATAGGTGTAAGTATATATCCTAATTCCATCTGCAGAAAGGGCACGGAAACAGTGACATTGTGATAACCATGAGCGCACCGAGCACCCGGAACTTGATGTGTAACACCATCCACCCATGGAGGG